TTACAATAAACTATTCCCATCAAGATCTATCTCTTTGCAAAGTTCTAAATCGAAATTCGAAAATTAGGTTTTCTGATGTTCCTGAGGGGGGCCACAGCTTTCATTTTTTAAGAATACCGTAAAAATGCAATATCTCGGCACCAATCAGCTAGCGGCACGAACTTTTTTCAGGGTGTTCATAGATCACTAGGACCTACATGATGCTCATACTCTCGACTCAAAAGCGATGTGACACTTGGGAATGTTCCCTCGTCAGTACTACATGGTACTGCTCAGTACTACATTGTACTGTTCAGTACTACGTTGTACTGCTCAGCACTATGGAAATGTGCTAACTATTCATTGAAGCTAGACTATTTTTTATAAACAGCAGTGAGATGAATTTCGTCCCGGGCCGGATTTCCGGTGATATTTGGACCTGGGCCGAAACGCCGCCGGAATTGAGGACCGGTCTGAAGTTCCAGGCCGAAAATTCCTTGTGTCGAAATTCTGGCTTCCCCAAGGTACAATACTTTTTTTTAATCGCGGACAGGACTTCTGGAAATTGTCTACTCATAAAATGACCACGGCGTTCTAATTCCATGGATTCAGACTTTAGTTTATCGGCCACAAAACGTCCTTCTGCTACTGGAATGAGTTTATCACTTGGAGAATGAAATTGAACAATCCATTCTGTGTTGGTTCGAATAACATTCCAATCGGATGGTCGATTATAGTATTCACTTGCTGGTTCGTTTTCATTACCTAAATCAGTTTGACAGGCTGCCACGAGTATCACTCCACGTACTTTATCTTTTTCAAGCAATCGCATGGTTGCTTCACATCCAGAACTATGTCCAATTAATATCGTTTTTTCGTCGAATTTTAGTGTATCTCGAATAAATGGTATCCATTGAGATTCACGAGCACCACGAGGATCAGGCATATCTTCAAGAATAACAGAAAATTGACCAGATGGATTCTTTGTAAGTTCTTGTTCAAGCCATGCATACCAATCACAATCTCGTACAGGTACACATCCCATACCTGGTACAATGACAATACGTTGACGTTCGACTTGTTGGTTGGTATCCTTTGCCATCTCTTTGTAAGTTGTAATAAGCAACTTTTCTAGTCAGCATGCCGAGCACGACATTTCTTCTGTTCTTACACATTTCACTGTTGCATTTTATCTTTCTCATACTTAGATCTGACCAAAAGTTCTGCAATTTAAAAAAAAAAAAGTTAAAGAAAAAGAGAAAGTTCGAGTTATATTTTATTAAATGTTCAAAATAGTCCCCATGATTATTTATACAAAGTTCCATCCTTT